TTGATGAGGAGGAAAAAAAATAGCCCTTAGTTATGAAGATGATTTAGCACATTACAAATGTCTGGGCACACATTACATTATTTGTTTTTCCATGTGACAAGAGAAGATACCCTCTCAAACCGCAGTTAATTATCTGCATGTTGGTGTATTTGTATGCACCTGAAGGAAAGCACATTCTTCTAGAACACTGTTTAACAAGTTCTGTGGTTTTAGAAAATAAATGTAATATTCCTCACAGCTGTTCAACCAAAAACTGCAGGATCTCTGGCAAAAGGATAAGCCTACCAGCAGTGCTGCCTAGCCTAGGACCTCCAGTTCTGTCACTCTGATGGAATTTTGTCGGACATGGGAGCCCAAAGGACAAACCTTCAGGGGAACTGTCACAGCAGAAAGCAGCCTGTGCCGTGCCCTGCCACTTCTCAACTCGGGACTTTGCAGGGCTGCACATAAAAGGTCAAAGGGGAGCTGAAGCCAAAGACACAGTTTGTTTCCACATTAATCTGCTCCTGACCCATTCCCTTCTGCAAGGAGCTGCCCAGATTGCTGAGCACGCTGTGGAGCCTGGGCAGGGGAGTGATTAGGGACCTGTCTTGGAAAACAGAAGCCCTCCTCTCCTTCTCACAGCAGGATCTTCACCAGCTCTGACACAACGAGCCCCGTTAGTATTAAGCAGTTGTTGTCAGTGACAGAATGGCCCAGCATCATGCTCCTGCAAATGGAAAGCTATTGCAGGGACAGGTGAGCAGCTGTGGACAGTCTGGCAGGAGCTCATTACCTGGATCTTTGCACTAGCACCTCCAGGGCCAGGACAAGAACTGACGTGGCCATGCACGAGTAACAGCCCAAAGGAGGGCTTGTAGAGCGGCAACAGCGTGGGGCTTGGAAAGAAGCAAAGTTCCCTTTTTGTGGCAGTTCTCCCCACCGGAGCTCCACCAGGACTGGACAGGATTTAACAGACCCCGCTCAAAGCAGCCTGGCGTAAGTGAGGGAGGCTGAGGGGGTGAGCACGGCAGCCGGACACAGACACTTGCAGCCGTCCCCGAGGACGCTGTCACACGGAGTCTCAGCCTCCTTCCTCTCAACACACAGCACGGAGCCCCCGGTACAGAACAGCTCCGCTCCCCTGGGTCGCCTCCCTGCCGAATCCTCCAGCACCTCCCCGCGCCCCACGCCTCGCACACCTCCTAGGGGTGCCCGGTCACCAGCACCCCACACCCGGGGATCCCCAAACCTCCTCTCCTGGCCTTGCCCCTCCCTCACCGCAGGGACCCCGTCCCCTCC